GGCGTATCCTGCTGCCTCCAGGCACCCGCTCCTTGAGTTCCCCTTGAGTTCTCACGGGATTGAGAGAGTATTTGGGATGCAGAGCCCAGTGGAAGCAGGGATTTTGCCCAGAACCTGTGTGTAGAGTGCCGGTGACAGTTTGAGAATAGTTGCAGTTTGAATCTACAAGGTGTGTGGTGGCTCATGATTTTGTGCCCAGCCAGACTGCGGCACACTTGATTTACAATGTTGAAAAGTATTTCTTTGCTTTCTAGAGCTCATTTCTCTGAAAATAAGTTGTTATAGATGTGTGCTTCAGAAGTCATAGAGACTCAATGTTTTGTTTTGTTTGGAAGCAGGAACAGCAGTTTCATTTTAAGAGTATTAGAAATGTCTATCACTTACTTATTTTGAGACTCAAGTCTGCCGCTCAATTGAAATTTAAGTGTTTTGAATAAATTTATTTTTAAGAATCAAATGAATGATTCCATTGCCACCAGTTTGTTTGCAAAGACGGGATATTGGACAAGCATCTTTTACATACTTCCTGTGGAGAGACATATTAGCTTTCAAAAATTTCTTTTAAAAATAACAGTAGTTTGTTTTGTGTTTGTTTCCACAGAAAACTGAGTTCAGATCCTGCAAGAAAATAGTTGTGAGGTTTATTTTAACTATTACTCAAACCAGTGAATTTGAAAATAACTGACTTATTTTCAATTTTTCTTCATAAAAATTAGAAAATATATAAAAATACCAAATATCGAAAAAGTTAAAAAAAGGTAATGCAATTTCAATACACTGACATGCAATGACAATCAGGAATGTAGTTATTTTCTCCCAAATGTTTAAACCTCAAATAAACATTTTAAACTTAGATGTGAATCACTATGTTAGTGATTCAGACATAGAGAATAATATTGATTTACTTCTAGAATGAGTTTTTGAGGTCATCTTGCTTTTTCCCGTTATTCTACAAAGGTATCATTTTAATTACTTTTTGCAATAACATGAAAAAAAACACTGGGTCCTTTTTTAAAATGATGGTGTCATATACAATAATATTATGTCTAAATCTGTAAGGATTGTTGCTGACTTGTTTAAAAATAGTTACATCATTCTGTGGGGTAGATACTAGCATTTTAAGTCTTAATAAGAAAAGCTGGGAGCTGTCCTGAACTCACTCACCACCTTCATTTTCTCAGCCAAGCAAACATTAAGCCCCACAGCTTCTAACTCATTAAAAGCCTCTTAAGTCATTTTCTTAGTCCCAGTCATTATCTTCATCCTAGCCCTCATCATCATCTTCTCTCTCCTGGATAACTGCAATAGCCTCTTCTTTTACTTCCTCCAATCTTCCTATTTAATACCCTAACCAGATTGTCCTCTTGTTTGTCTTAGGATAAGGTAACTCCATTGTTATGTGATAATTCAGCATGACCATGCATTAG